ATTACAATAATTGCATGTCTCTTTGGTTGCCAAATATTAATAATTGCATCCTACCCTATATTATGAAAGGTACATACATACATATATAAAATATCTCCACACATTTTTATTTAAATTATTTGTTATTGTTTCTCTTTTTCAATTGTAGAAAAATTAGCGTGTGATGGAGCCAAAAGATAAACTGCAAGCCAAACATGGTTGAAAGGGTAAAAATATAGAAAAAGTGAGGGCCAAAATTCAATAATTAGCAAGTAGATTGTAACCGAAGGTTTTATCACATTAACTTTGGATTAAGAGTTGAATTCGGCGCATGCAAATTAATTATGACTACCCAATTAATGGATTTTATATACTACTATATGTTTATAAGTACTACTAGTGTAGTTACAATTAAGTTAAGCCAGCCCAAAATTAATTCATTAATTAATTATAAGCTACCATTGCTAATTGCACGAAAAAATCATTAATTAAGATCATGTACTTACAGTCGCAATTAGAACTATCAAATGCCCAAGTGGTTTGCATCAAATCAAATGGTACCCATTAAATATTATTAATGCATAATATGGTTAGAAGACATTAATTTGTAATTAAATCCCGTTATTACTAGTATTGATTTGACATATATATTAATCTGTGAATTACGTAAATCCAAATCCCTAGTTATTATTAATTCCAATTATGATAATTATTGCGGAAATCTTACAACAATTAATGAAATCAATTAATTGTTATATACTATCGATCAGGCGTAGTAGCTAGCGTTGCCCGCTTGCTACGGCTTTGCTACTATATATATCTTGAGATATTTGACTTTATTTGTATTTGCAAATAATAAAGTCAACGCATTTGATGCGGTATCAATCATATAGACAAATCCCACGAAATATATAAAGCATTTCTGAGCTAACTTATTATATACCTAGCAGAAAAGTATATACATACAGTAGTCATGAGGAGTAATCTCCCTATATAAAATTCCCGAATACGCTGAGCCTACGTGGCTGCTTCTGGTGCTTCGAAATCCTACTTGGCGAAGAATCATGCTTCGTAATTAGATTTGGACAAATAATATTGATATATTAATAAGTAATAATCTAGATTTGGACATTCCATAAATATTATTTATCTAACTTAGGTATTTTAATATCACTTGTACTAATATAACCTTTTAATTATTTGTAATTTTACATAATGAGGCACTAAGTGACTAATATATCACTCACTTTGATTTGTTTCCTTCAATTAGCTATTGAATCGTAAATGTATTTTAAAAGTTAATAATTTTTGTATTTCTTATCTGTTTTACATATATAATATATCAAATTAATCACCTTTTGATGATGTTTGATTTGACATCTGATGTGGTCATTAGTAGCAGTTCGTGAGGAACCGATTGTGATCCGGTTATTACGGCCTTATGAGGAGGACCGGCTAGGCATTGTGGTAGTCGGGCGGTTGGGTGAGTGCCCGGCGAGTGGCGAATGCTCGGCATGGGATAAGTGTCCAGCATGAGGAGTGCTCGGCGTAGGTGGTGCCCGGCATGCAGAGTACCCGATGCTAGGTTCTCGATGGGTGCTCGGCCTTGGGAGGTGTCTAGCGGCCCTCGTACGCTCGGCGGCCCTCGTGGGCCACCGAGGAGGATAGAACCTGAAGGTGGCTTTGTGATCAAGTTACGAAGGAGTCTGATGTGGTCGTTAGTAGTGGTTCATGAAGGACCGGTCGCGGTTCGGCCGTCGCACTTGTATGGAGGGCACTTCACGCCCAAGTGCGCGACACCCCCAAGTGCGTGGCA